AAAAGTAGCCAAAATGGCCAATTAAATAAGCATCATATAGGTCATAACTAATCTAAAAAAGTTATGAGTTGTGTTTGAAGGAAACTTCTAATAAAATGACAAACTGACTACACCCTAGCCATATTCTAAATGATTAAAAAACTATGTCATAACATTTAAATTTATACAAAGTTCATTATACAATTATGGTCAACCAATATAATTATCGCAGGCTACTTAGAGAATTCGTCTTAGAAATCTAATTAGATTGAAGCAATCACCATGGTATATGACTTTAAAAGTTAAATTTGAAATTAAATATTAATAAGATTGAAAAAAGATACAATCGTATTTAAATATAAAAGTCAAGAATTATAAAATTTTCAAAAAAATTAGCCTTAAACATAACCTAAAGTGTTAAGTTAAAAATTAGAAGTTCAATTAAGGTGGCATAATTAAAATTTGTATACTTGAAAAAATCATATGAGATTAAATAATGATAAGATATTTTTATTATATGTTGATTCATCATTTAATATTAAAATTCAATAAATCATAAATATGTTAATTATGAAATTTAATGGAAACATTCCCTATTAATCTATGTTGACTTACCTCATGCATGTGCAAGTGTAATAATATGAGGGAAGATAGTTGAATGTATTAACTATTAAGATTAGGATTCAAGTATCTAAGAAGAATATAATTAATTAAACTATAGCAATTTTTTATACATTTAGCAAAAAGGCATTAAATGTCAAGATTACATGACTAGGACAAGTAAAAAATTGTTTATTTGGCAAAAAAAGGTATTTGACCATATGGTTTGATTAAATATTAAAATAATTTTGATAGAAGTCCATGATTTTGCTCCCAAAAAAAATCATATAATGTTTTATTACCAAGTCCATAAGGATAACTAAAAGGAATGCTCCAAGTAAAATATAATAAAGCCTAAAGGGTACGGCATTATTGGAAAATAATTTGGTCAAAAGTGTATTACAAAATTGAGGATAAACTAAAATAGAAGATCATGGTTAAGTTGGGTTTAATTTAGTCAAAAGAACAAGAAAAAATAAAAAATGTATTATCATAAGAGCGAATGACACCAGGATAGAATTGATTATAAGTTCATGACCATATCGGGATAACTTCTAGCCAAAAAGAGTATAGCTAAGAGAATTGATAATATATTTAAGAAGGCATGATTATGCTAAAAATACATTAAAATAATGAGCATGATTATGCTAAGAAGATCTTAGCCAAAAGAGTAATATTAAGGGATTAAGTAATACATTTAAAAATTCTTGAATGCAGGAAGGATATGCATAGTCAAATTCACCTCCAATGAAGCCTAATTAAAAAGTATAATTAAGATAAGAATCAACTTAAGATATTAATGAAACTGAAACATAAATATATTTGATGTAAATAAGGTTATCTAAAGTTGCCTCTAAAAGTATCTCAATTGGGATTTTGATAGTTATAGATTGTTTCCTTGTTAATATAATCTAAAAGCTGAAATAAGGTATATATAAACTAATTTAATGAAGGTCTCATGAATTATCTGAGTAGAAATTAAGATTAAATTATAATGATGAAAGATCAAAATAACCCTAGAAGTAAGCGAACAGATTAAGTAAGAGAAACGACTTAGATGATTATGAATGACTAAGATTAAGAATGACAAACGTAATCTCAACTTGAAAAGTAACTTGATTTAGTCAAATCTTAAGCATGAAAAGTTGACAATTCAATTATAGCAGATGTAAGAAAACTTCCCGGGTATCTAGTTTAATCTAGTTTACTTTAAGTGCCTTTATTATGCTTTTCTTTTTGTATTTTAAGCATGAAAAGTTGACAATTTAATTATAGCAGATGTAAGAAAACTTCCCGAATATCTAGATTTTTCTAATTTACTTTAAGTGCCTTTATTATGCTTTTCTTTTTGCTTTTTTGGGTTCGTAGGTGGGTGACTTGTGTTTTTCTTTTTTTTTTTTTATGGGAGTGGAACCTTCATTTTTTTCTTCTTTTTTGTGAGTTGTATGGGGGGTGTAGTAGGTTCCTCTTGCCTTTCGTTTTTATTTTATTTTTTGTGAAATAAAATTCGTACTGAGTTATAAAAAAGGTTAACATTGTTTATACCGACACATACTATTAGTATTATCTTACGATAAGTGAAATATATTTTTTTATGCATATATTTTGATATTATTTAGCTACTAGAATGTTATCTAAGTAAATATAAGATTATATATTCATATCATAGATGCTTAAGAATTTTTTGGTATATTTATAAAACCCTCAATAAATTATAATCTAGCCTTAATATAATTAAAATAGTAAAATAATTATATAGTAATATCATTTTCACCGATTCAACAAACTGTATTTTAATATAAGAAAGTACTATTAATTATTTTAATTAATATTCAAAATCAAAATTTAAAACATAAATTCTTCTCTATTTTTTATTTGAATATATTATTTTTAGTTATCAAATCAAAATCAAAATGCTAAAATGGGATCAATTTTGAACCGATCAATTCTTTTTGAGTTTTTATCTGTTCAAGTTGTACTGTTCAATCATGATTCTGATCGATTCAATCTTAATTTTATTCGTAAGAGGTTACAAGCTTAGACCAAATTGATTGAATAATCGGTTCACAGTTATATCAATGCGCATATAAAGACACAAAAGTTTAATGAAATTTGATAATATTGCGAATTTGATAAAATCATTTGCTAAAATTATTATTATTACTATTATTATTAATAATATAT